ACCAAAATCCCAGCACAAGTTAGTTGAAATCTAAGGCAAATTCAAACCAACATAAAGTTAACTCAGACTATTCATCTCTTTCTTTGAGAAACAAGTTACTTCATTATACTTCAGGAAAGAACAGATTTGTGTGCTCAAAGCAACCTGACAAAAAAGAGCATGAAAGAAAAAGTCCTAGTTTAAGTTTCCCCATTCAGTAAGCCAGGCAGGTAGATCCACCTGGTTTGGGTGAGTTCTAAGCACTGTACTATGATTTTATGACAGCTGTTACAGTGCTATAGAATTCATCCTCCACTAGGTGAAAAGACAGAAAAATTCTTCTATAACATCCAAGTATTTCTCACTCCCAAATTTTATTTCGTATTCAAGCAGAAGAAGAGGAAGTCCATGCAGCTTAAGAGGTGCCAAGTTTTACCCAGAGTTTGGTAATCTTGAAGCATAATTATCCAAACTCCTTTTTGCATGGCACTTCCTCATAGCCTAGGAGCATTAATCACATAAGAAAGCAAGCACACATCTCCTACATCAGGAACAACACATAGACCTAATATTAAACATCCTGTTATGGCAGCAATGACATTAAATGTCCTATAAGCTAGTGAAAAGAGAAAATTGGTCTGCCTACAGACCCCCCCAGAAATGCATTGCCTCAGAGAAAGCAGCTGGAAAATGTGGCAAGTTTGACCCCTTCCTTGTTGACTGAACTTGCTATTTCTCTTACTGGGATTTTAAGACAGAACCAGATTCTAACCTACCATCATTATCACTCTCCTGCCAACTATGCCATGCAAAAAGACCCCTTGTTTCCTCTAACCCAGGCCATACTTTATATCTTGGGCAGCCTGTAGGCCTGTCACTGTAATACACTACTCTTCCAACTCTGCCACAAATCAGTACAAAAGCTTTCAGCAAGTATAAATCACAACTTCCTATACCCTAAATTCCTACAGCCTAAGTCACCCTTCATTGCAGCATATTTTACTATCTTCCATAACCAGCAGTGGACAAGTATCATTTCATTAAGTGGTCATTTTGGAGAATTAGACCCAGCCCAGGCCCTTCTACTTAAGAATCTGCCATATTTTTAATGCTGATCAAAGGCCTCCAAGTTTAATGCCTTAAGAAAATCAGGAATGTTGGCAAAACTTCTATTATAAAACCCTGATTACTTTGAAACATGCCCAGGGTATGAATGAAATTGAATTTTTCAATCATTCCTCTAGTAGTCTGCAAAGGAACCCATTTGGACAGACTTAGCTTGTAGGGAAGAGGACAGGTACCCCATTATATGGCACATGCAAGATCTGAACTGACAAACTGGTTGTAAAAAGAGAAAAAAAACACAACTTGTGAAAATAGTTACTATTCCAGTCTAGCTTTGGATGGATGTGTTTCATTCTTTTTTCCTGTTTTTGAAGGGAAAGGGAAAAAGACAAATGTTTTCTACTGTTCAAAAAAAAAAATGAAAATTCAGTACTTCCTCATCCCCTAACATTCAAAACAGATTCTCTGAACTCTGTCCCAGTGTACTTTAAAGAATAGTTCCCTCTTACCAATTAACAAAATTCTGAGTTGGAAAGGAAAGGGAAAAAGACAAATGTTTTCTAGTGTTCAAAAAAAATGAAAATTCAGTACTTCCTCATCCCCTAACATTCAAAACAGATTCTCTGAACTCTGTCCCAGTGTACTTTAAAGAATAGTTCCCTCTTACCAATTAACAAAATTCTGAGTTGGAAAGAAAACCTTACAGTGCAGATGGTGAGAGCTAAAAGAGACAGTGCATTTCAGACAAAAGGCAGTGGAATGTAGCTACACTGAACTTTTAAAAAATTGTTCTAGATACAACAATAAGATGAAGGAAAGACTGGTTTTGCTCTCATTCCATCCATTATGCCATTTTGCCAGTCTCTTTTCTTGCCATTTAGCAAGTTAAAAACCCCAAATGACAAGGAAGAGCTACCAAATGGGAGTATTCACCAACACCTGCCAGGGGATGAGCAAGGGGTTTAAATACATCTTGGTGAAAGAAGGGGAAAAACAAGGAAAAACCACATGGATTTAATTGTTCCTGCAGCTACTCTGCTACCCAGTACAGTTAAAATTGCTGATGTAGCTCATTTTAGGCAGCTTCATAAGCAAGGCAGTAAAAAGGGCTCCTGCATCAGCTTCCCTGCTACATTGCAAAGCAAGGCCCCTTCCCAGAAGCTCAGCACTGTGCCTGGCTTCTCTCTTTCACCAATATGCCACTTTTCTCAGTCAAAAGTTATTTGCCATAGTTCTTAAAGACAGAAAGGAAAGTTATTTGAACTGGCAACAAAAAGGGACCAAAATGCCTTTTGCCATAGGCTACAGCTCCATTTGAAGGCAGTGCCTAATGCACCTATGAGAGAGGCCTCAATGTCCCACTATACTGAAAAATTATTGCTGACCTGAATCAATAAACACAAACCCCATAAAGCAAGTAAGGAAGACAACACCACCTCTCATTTCCACAGTCAGTGAAAAAACACTGCAAAAGTAAAGAGGAGTGGGCAAGCAGCACTGCACTGAGGGCCTCAGTCCCTGTAGGGAGGCTGTTCAATCATTAATTTCTCTCACTGCTTTAAAAAAAACAATAATCCATGCTAGCCCACACCACCTACTCAGCAAATGTGCCTGACTCTTCTTAATTCTTCCCCTCAATCCCCAGGTGAAAAATTTCACTTTTCCCTCATAAACAGCAGCAGCACTTACTGCTATCCCACCAGCCCACCAAACAAATTAGAAGGCAGAGAGTTATAACTTAATTCCTCAGCCCTCTTTGCTATCATTTGCTACCTCATTTTGACAAAAACAAAAGGAAATGTAGGCAGTGTAAGATTCATGCCACAGCTGATGATTATGAACCTTTCTGTACTCGACACCCTACAGGTGGACAAAGAATAATCCCTTTTCCTCACTACTTATGACACCAGGCAAGTTTCTAAGTTGTTCAGTTCCAACTGGCCTTCAAAAGAATAGTATGATACTAACTATAGCAGCAAGATGCCAGCTGCCCAAATCCAGATGTTTCTATAGATATCACAACCAGGGTGTGCTTTCCAGCTAAAAAGAGAAAACCAAGACAGTTCCTAACTATGAGAAACCTCTCATCATGATGGGAAACAAACAACAACAAAGGTACTGCTTCGTGGCCTAGTTAAGGGACAGAGCCAAGCACTTTCATGCAGGAGACCACACATAGAGCCCTGAAGGACCCTGAAAGCAGAGAGGAGCAACCTATGTTTGAAGCTACAAAGAAGGAGCCAGGCTGCAGCTGCTGCTGGGAACAATGACCAAGCAGGTTGACTCTCACTGCAACATGTGAAACAGGCACCTGTGCAGCGAGACAGGAGAGGCTAAAGCCAACAAGAAAGAAGGTGTGAAATGAGGGGGTCCTAGAAGGCATGAGGTTTAGCTGTTTAGTTAAACAGTACCACCCTAGAGATTGTACAGCATGCCTGCAGGAGATGGCATGCTACAGGAAAGGAAGGAATCAGAGGTGAAAGGAAGAGACTCCAGTATGTGTCACAGTGGTAAAAAAAGAAAAATCCAGTGAGGAATTTATGGTTTTCACGTATGAAGTTTCATGTTGACATAAACACCAAAAACAAGTCTCATCAGGCAAAGGCTGATTTATTTTTTTTTTTTTTAGAGTTGAGAGACTGACAAGAATTTAGACATCAAGAACTGAGCCACAGGTGAATTTGCATTTGGTGGTAAAATTAACAACAAAGTGCAGTAGGACAAGACAAGGGGATTAACGATGGAGCTAAACTGGGCCTGCAATGGAAGCCTGAGAGCAAAGAAGGTAACTGGAAAGAGATACAGCCAAGACTGTTCCAGTAGGCAAAGGATAATCAGGTCAGGACAGTTTCAAAAAACAAGGTATTGTGAAAGTAGTAACCCATACTGAAGATAGATGAGAAGTGAATGGAACCCAAGGAGGGTACTGGGAGGTTAGAGCACAGTGGAAAAGCGACCACAGAGCCACACGAGCACCAACCAGTCTGAAGGTAAAAAAGGATTCTGAGGTTGTCAGAGGTGAGCACAGTCAAAGGACTTTCCCCTCAGCAGTAGATCAAAGGCAGTAAAGCAGGCTCTGTTTCAGAAAAAGCTAGATAAAAGTTAGAAAGGAAGATGAAGAGCCCAATGTTACTGGGGAAAGTGGAAGATTTGCATGAGAAAAGTAGACAAAGGATAAATATGACAAGGAAGAGAAGGAAACTATCTATGCTAATACACAGGAGATTTCTGGTCACTGACTTCACATAATAAAGCCAGAACTAGGATTTATAAATTCTTTCTTGATTTTAACAGCTTACAGCAGATTTGCATCAATTTCCAGAACTACAGGGTTGAGAGGGTTGCTTGGTTTTCTCTCACTTTTTTTTTTATGTTAAGAATGAGACAAGGACTTGAAGAACAAAAATTTTTCAGTTTAAATGCAGAACCACCCCAAACTGAGCACAGTTTGTATTTCTTAAGGCTGATTTCTCTAAATGCTAAACAAGCATGCTTTTAATGAGAAAATTTCAGAAACACTGTCACCCTTCTGGTGCCTCTCTCCCAAAGTGTGGCAACAGGCAAAAACTTTCAAGTGGGAGCAAGTTTACTTGAAGGTGATACAAATCATTAAAATAATTAATAAAAAGTAGTGACTAAAAAAAAATTGCTCTTCTGTTGTCCCAGCTCTGAAATCAACAATGCCCCAAGTGGCTCAGAAAGAGACAACAGCTTGGCAGAAGATAGTTGGTGTCCCCCCAAAGCAAGTAACAGGTAAAGGCTCTTGGTATTTAAAGTCTGTTAAAAACACAGAACATCTCTTATAAAGATTTTTAAAAACTCATTTAATTACTTACAAATAGGCAAAATCCCTAAGGAATCTGCAATCAGATACTGCCTGAAAACTTCCCAGCTTCGGCGAGCTTCACATTACCAGCAGCCAAGTGCACTTGAAATGAGGTTTAAAGTTCTCTTACCTCAATGTCAAGGACTTCCACCGTGTTGTCCAGCATCTTTATTTTGACTGGTAGGTCACACTCGTGCATTTTGGCAGGCAGTGATGCCATTGCAGTGGAGAGGTTCTGCCCTGGCTCCAGGGTGCTCACTCCCATGGTCTTCTGGACACCCAAACGGGAGCCAGGAGTCTGCAAGACTCTGTATGTTCCTTCTATCTCTCCCATCTTTCAACAGTGAGCAGAGTCTAAAGGAACCTGGAAGAAAATTGAGGATTACAGCCTGAAAGACAGTTTTCCACCAATATCCTATGTGAAAACACTACCCACCAAGGCACAATCACACACAAAGTCTTTATCTAATGTTCTTCATCCTGCTATCAAAACGAATAATAAAACTGATCAAACCTTGTTCAAAAATCCAGCTGCTGGGGAGAAAAATTAGTGGCAAACCCCCCCCCCAGCTATTCCAAAATGTGATTAGGAAATAGGACACTTGTGGCCCTCAGCTCTCCTTATACACTGACACAGTTTGGTAGCATGTGCTTAATTTGACATGGAGTTAAAAAACAAACCTGCACACCCCTCCCCTGCCCTCCTGTGCCACGGGAGCAGCAGCAAGATCTGCAGGGGGGCTGCAGGAATCCACAGCACGTGTGCTCAGGATGCAGTGCTCCCAACAAAGCTCTGTGCTCATTGCTGGGACCAAGTATTTGGCCACAAGGTACAAGGGGCCCAGCAGAGACACAAACACAAACACGTTGGCTCCTCAGAGCTCCTGGCTACGTTTCCCAAAGACCACGCTGCATCTGAACAATTGGAAGTATGTGAAGACTGAGGCTAGGACAGCCCTCGCAGGGCCACCACATTAAAAAAAATATCCATGAAGTGTTAGATTATTGTTTGGTAATAAACATAAAATCGTTTTGTCTAAAAAGCAGAGAGGCAGATCATGAAAACATTCCTTTGTCCCTCTATGCTTTGAGTAGGTAGGCAGCCTGCTCTGTGGATTTAAACAGAGCCAGCCTGATGTGCTGTTAAAAATCCACATGTGGGGGTTAAGTTTTAATCCTTGTGCACGCTGAGATTGGTGAAACATCTTCCCAGCTTGCAGACTGGTGGTTTTCAACATTATGGGGTTTTTGTTTTTATACTTGCAGGGTGCTGTACAGATAAACTTGTCTCAAAAAAGAAGCCAAATGCCTCCTACCTCATTATGCCCACCACAAGGCTTGTTTGGCTCAGCAGTCTCTCAGAGCCCTGTCTGAGCAACACAACTCGAGACTGCTGCAGAGATACCTCCAGCTTCCTAGCTGATACCACGCACAATGAGAAAGCAGGAGAAGAACTATTTCAACCTTAAAAGTCTGTGTGTGCTGCCCAAGTGCCCCACCTACCAGTTTTAGAAACTTCTTGCTCATTTGTCCCTTTTCTCAGACAGTTTTGTGCATATCCTTTCATTGAACTTCCCAGTTTGTACGGCCACAGAACCAAGGAGAAAATCTTTTAGGTCACAAATTTTAAAGCCACCACCATAGCAAAAATCAGCAGAGACAGCTGCTTAGGTTACAGCTCTAACTGCTAACCTGAAGAGAAATTAACTTGCTGTCATCTACATCCCCTTGATACTCTGTCCCTTATAACCATATGGTAAGACTTTGCTACTGCCATTCAAAAGACTACAATCAACCCAAGTTGCCCAGAATCAGTTACACTTCTCACAATGCCATTTATGAGATAATTACTCTTAAAATTAGCACACTGTGAAAGCACTCAACTCACCCCATTCTGAATAAACAGCTACTGGCTGGGACAGGCCTTGAGTAACTCAAAAGGAAAAAGATGTGAGGGTTAACAGCTGAGGAGGCAGTGCATGGAGCAGCCTCCCCTCTGGCTGCAGCCAGATGGTTCCTGAAGGCAAAGCAGGCAGGCTTTCCTGGACTAAATGAGGAGCTTCTAGGTACTTTTACTAGCTTTGTTTACGAGCCAGGAGAGACCAAAGTCATGTCAAACAAACTGCAGATGTCAGAGTCCTTCCTCACAGGTATTAACAGGAAAAGTGAATTCAACAGGGCTTGGCCTTGCGTCTTGCTGATGACACATTCCTAAATATACTGACTTCTAGAGCAGTCCCCAGCTAGCATATGTTCAGATTTTATAGCTCTAACAACCATCTAAGCAGAAAATATAATGGGCAGAGAAGCAGTGCCCTGCCTACTGTGTGCCAGTCGTGAGCATCTCCCCATGCCACATCCAGCTCCCTCCTGATGCATGCTACTAAGGACATGATAACTATTAAAAATCCACAAATACCCTTGTCTGCTTCAACTGCCTCAAAAAATCAAGTGTGAGGAGTATAAGTCAAGTATTATTTCCAGTTTCCTTTCATCACCAATTATAGTTACATATCATGCTTTACACAAGCTGTCTACATGTGACACTTTTTAACAAAAAATGTTGTGCCATGACTTCGGAAGCATTTCAGAGAAGCTGACTAAATGAAAGGCAGAGGAAGAAGGAAGACTGAGGTCTGAGACAGGCTGCAAGCATGGTGGAGACAGAGCAGAGAAAGTATCCAACAGCACTGAGAGTCTCCCACCACAGGCAAGCCAGGACAAGATCTCATTTATCACCTCACTAACACAAAACTAAAATCTAATATTACCACAACATTAGAATCACAGAATTGCTTAGGTTGGAAAAGACCTTTAAGAGCATCAAGTCCAACTGTGAACCTAATACTATATTAACATAATATTAGGGGTTCTAAGAAAATAAATCTTCCTTGCATTCATTCCCCCTAAACTTCTTTGCACTGAGTGCTTATCCTGATAAACCAGGACCAGACATCAAAGATAAACCAACTCACTGATCACGGTGACAGAATGACTGTCACTCTCAGCCCCACATGAAGGAGTAGGTAGAATGAAACTTAAAAAATTTAGGTAGCCATGTCCATCCTGTTGCCTTTTTAAAACAGATTGCAAGTCAGAAGGAATTTTTTCTTCTACTTTGATGGAATAAAGTTAGTTTTCAGAAGCAAGACAGCATTTTTCAGCTAGCAGCAAATCCAGAAAGGCAGCTTACACCTGGGCATATACCTGCTTAAGATACCAAGGGCTTTCAAACGAACTGCTCGAAGTACTGTGTCTTTTGCTCAGCAACCGAGTCACCACCATGCACCATCCCTCGCCTATGCAAACGGCTGGTCTGAAGTAATGCCAGCGCCAGAGCTCCCCAGCGGAGGAGGGTGATCCCAGCCTCCCGCAGGAAGGGGTCCCCACGGGATCCCCAACATCTGCGCGCCACGGGAGCCCGCCTGGAGCGACAAGGATGCACCCTCAGCAGGCGCTCTCAAAACACGACCCTTCAGTCCACTAGAAACAAACTTTCCTCTCTTCACTTTTGCCCTACACCAAGGTGGCACCAATGAACGCGTCAGGAATCCCAACGCAGCCAAGAGGGCCGGAGAGCAGGAGCGCCGCAGCCGCCCCAGCACAGCCCGCTCTCCCAAACCCGGAGCCCCCCTCTCGCTCCAGACACCGACCCCCCAGCTGTACTGCTGCGGCCGGCAGCGCCCTGCGCCGGGG